CGTAGCACACACACAGTATAGGTAATATAGTTATTTTCCAGCTTTACTGGTGGAGAATGACCTCAGGTGGCCCTTCATACATTATTTTAGGCACAAACTGGCACCTGGGTAGAACCATCAATGTTCCATAAGCTAGCTGGATATCTTCCTCGCATGAAAGAATCCAAAGTCCCTGGCCGGATTTAAACCCACAGCCGTGAGGAGCAAGGGATTTGAAGTCAACAACCTTAACCACTCAGTTGTGGATGCCCCTTCTTGTAGGTCAAATAAATTACACACATACTACTGATATCAATACAAAAATATTAATAATAACAATAAATTATTATATCACTGAAACTCTTACCACAGCTCTATCTTGAACTATTCTGGTCAAATCAAACAATAACCAAAAAGGCAGAAAACAAATGGTTGAGTATCGACTTAATAGCAGGAGTAAATTCATATGGTGTAACCCTGTATCTTTTAATGTCTGAAATATAAAGTTATACATAAAACTATATAATTAACAGCAAAACAAATGGGTTATGATTGCCCAAGAATGACTCACATGAGAACCATCGGGTAATGATTTCTTTTATGCTTAGAAAGATACCAGGTAACACTGATTCAACCTTATTATTATCAAACTTTTTTTACATGTTTACTAGCTTAAGTATGATCATAACAAGAACTGTTGGTAGGACAGCATGCTTAACAACAAGAGCCTTGATAATGTAGAATTTTTAAGTTCAAAAAGGTCCATAATTCTGTCAAAATCCACATTAGAGTCATGGGCCTTGCACAGTGACTAGCTTTGTATGCTCTAAAATAAGTGTACTTTGAGACTTGATGGTAAAAGGTAATTTTTTCAGATATGTAAAAATTGATCGAAAACCAGTTGTATCGTTGTAGCAGATGTCCCATTCGTGTTTAAATATCAAAATATTTTTGACAGAGTGTTTACAGGGGCGTATCACGTTGGGGGGCAGGATCTGACCCCAAGCGTCTGAGAGCAAGAGCTGTTCATAAGACAATGCCCTCAATTTTCATAAGTATTACTTAGTGCAGTTGAGTTAAAAAAACAACCTGAACACTAGCTCTACAACAACTTCCTTATTCAAATTATAACAAAACAGATCTATACAATTTTTTTGGTCTACAAAACAATTTTAACAATAATTAAGGTAAACCGTATATATTAATGTACAAACCTTTTTAGAAAATATAGTTTGTAGAGAAAATCCAAGAGTTGCAAACAGAGCGCTACCTAAGCCAATTATATCAAAGGCTATTTCTGTGAGTGTAGCAATACATACACCGCCAATGATTGGTATCAGGGAAAAATACACCTAAAAATGAACCAACAATAATGTTACATTTCATATTACAATCAATGTTAATACAAATTTCAGAGAATTATTAAGATGTTGAAGTGTGTCATTTGTTAAAGTGAGAGCATTTAAAATAATTTCTTTAAACAAAAAATCAATGTTATTGGCTTTCATTCATACAAATGATTTTTGATCTTATATCCAAAAATAAGAAAAGTTTGATTTCAATAAAATAACTTACAGGGAATGTTTGCTTTTCTTTAAAACATAATCTCATCAAAATGACTGTAAACAATGGCAGTGTTGCTTTGACTGAAAAATAACAAAAAATCTGCATGAATTTCAATCGCAGCATGCCTCCAATATGAACCATTGTAATACTAATTTAAAACATTAAAATATAAATAATTGAAAGAAATAAAAAGGTCTCTTTAAAAATGATCACCTTATTTACTAAGCCATAAAAATAAAGCTTAATTCTTTTATTTTACTACATGGACTTCTCCCATTTGGGTCATTTCTGATAACACATGATTGTACATGTACAGGATGCTATCGGTACCTGTGATCCAGAACACACAGGATCTGGGATGGTATCAAACATTAGAGGGGAATGAATAAACTGCTTTTGTCTTTGACTTTATTCAAGTGTATCAGAAGGATGTCTGTTTGACCCTTGAAATGACTCTTTGACCCTTCATATTTCCAAAAGGCCTGATTTGACCCTCAGGATTTTAACTGGAGGGTCAAATTTTGTTAAAATCATGGGGATTTGGCCTTGTAGTCAGTAAAAATTATTCAAAATGATCCTCAGGATTTCATTGTTACCTTGCATGCAGAAAGTAAGGCCTAGACAAAGACTTTAACAGTACTTCAGACTATATGCAATACACTTAGTTCAACCCCTTGCTGTGACCTTGACCTTTAAGTTTAACCTAGGGACCTGGGTCATTTGCACAACACATTGTCTTTTTATGGTGACCAGATGTAATTACTGGTATATTTTGAAACATCCCATCATACATGCAGAAGCTAGGAACCTAGACTTAAAATTTCAGGTAAACAGCACTTCAGACTATTAAACAAATAAATAAAGTTCAATCCCTTGCTGTTAACTTGACCTTTGGCCTAGAGACCTGGGTCTTCCAAGCAACACATCACTTACTTATGGTGATTTTTTTTAACTACATATGTATCTGAATTTTATTATGACACATGCTCTAATTATGCATAGGACAATATGACAAATACATTAAATGCCCTGCATTGACTTTGACCTTTAATTTAGTGACCTGGGTCTTTAACGCAAAACATTGTCTACTAAAACAGGTCATGTGCACCAAAATATTTTTGATGAGGCTTACCGCAGACGAAAATTTGCTCAAATATTGTCCGCCTGACCTCGTGGACAGAAAATTTGCTCCACCACGGACATAAATCTACAGTCGTAAGCATTTCTCCCACGGAACACTGTGTTAAATTGCAGAGAACGCAGTTGTCAAACACCTTGGACAGCAGTGTTATTCATCCAAAAACTGGTGAATTTTCGGTATACCAGTATGGGTATCAAAAGAAATATTTATGGATAGTGTACCATGGGTTCTGGCGATATGAAAAGGAAACAAGAGTTGTCGGTAGGACAGCAACGCTCGACTATTCTTAGTGCTTGATAGTAAAAAAAATGCTTGATACAATTACTTCCTCCTGTTTACAGGTTGGGGTAATGATGGTGAACAAGTGTGCAAAGTTTCAAAGCCATATGTCAATGGACTTTGAAAATATTTGAACTATTACAAAAACTTTAACGTAAATTCTAAGTCGAAAAAGGGGCATAATTCTGTCAAAATGCTTGATACAGTTACCTCCTCCTGTTTACAGGTTGGGGTCATGATGGTGAACAAGTGTGCAAAGTTTCAAAGCCATATGTCAATGGACTTTGAAAATATTTGAACTATTACAAAAACTTTAACGTAAATTCTAAGTCGAAAAAGGGGCATAATTCTGTCAAAATGCTTGATACAGTTACCTCCTCCTGTCTACAGGTTGGGGTCATGATGGTGAACAAGTGTGCAAAGTTTTAAAGCCATATGTCAATGGACTTTGAAAATATTTGAACTATTACAAAAACTTTAACGTAAATTCTAAGTCGAAAAAGGGGCATAATTCTGTCAAAATGCTTGATACAGTTACCTCCTCCTGTTTACAGGTTGGGGTCATGATGGTGAACAAGTGTTCAAAGTTTCAAAGCCATATGTCAATGGACTTTGAAAATATTTGAACTATTACAAAAACTTTAATGTAAATTCTAAGTCAAAAAAGGGGCATAATTCTGTCAAAATGCTTGATACAGTTACCTCCTCCTGTCTACAGGTTGGGGTCATGATGGTGAACAAGTGTGCCAAGTTTCAAAGCCATATGTCAATGGACTTTGAAAATATTTGAACTATTACAAAAACTTTAATGTAAATTCTAAGTCGAAAAAGGGGCATAATTCTGTCAAAATGCTTGATACAGTTACCTCCTCCTGTCTACAGGTTGGGGTCATGATGGTGAACAAGTGTGCCAAGTTTCAAAGCCATATGTCAATGGACTTTGAAAATATTTGAACTATTACAAAAACTTTAACGTAAATTCTAAGTCGAAAAAGGGGCATAATTCTGTCAAAATGCTTGATACAGTTACCTCCTCCTGTCTACAGGTTGGGGTCATGATGGTGAACAAGTGTGCAAAGTTTCAAAGCCATATGTCAATGGACTTTGAAAATATTTGAACTATTACAAAAACTTTAACGTAAATTCTAAGTCGAAAAAGGGGCATAATTCTGTCAAAATGCTTGATACAGTTACCTCCTCCTGTCTACAGGTTGGGGTCATGATGGTGAACAAGTGTGCCAAGTTTCAAAGCCATATGTCAATGGACTTTGAAAATATTTGAACTATTACAAAAACTTTAACACAAGAGCTGTCCGTAAGACAGCGCGCTCGACTTTTTTATTGCTTGCCAATAAAAAAAGTTTTTGCAGTAAAAGGCAATACAAGAATCTCTGTATTTTTAAAGTGAACTAGTTGTTTGATACCCTTGAATATTACAGCAATGTTTATATGACATAATTTATGGTAAAGTGAACAAGTGGATAGGAATGAATTTTTTTAGATTTTTTAAGTTTTTTAGTGCTTGCCTATAATACAAAACATTGACAGTTAAGGGCCATAATTCAAATAAAATCTTTGACAGAATTACCTTCTCCTGGACATGTTTGGGAATCATGATTGTAAACAAGTATTCCAACTTTCAAATTAATATCTCAAACAGTTCAGTCAAAAAGTGGACTGGTACTAAAAACTTAACCAAGATTCTAAGTCGATAAAAGGCCTTAATTTTTAAAACAAATCCTTGACAGAGTTACCTTCTCTTGCGTACAGATGGGGGTAATGATGTGAAATAGCATTAAAAGTTTCAAAAGCAATATCTCAAAGGGTTAAGGCAATAAGTGGATTTTACCCATATTCAATGTATTTTCTAAGTCAAAAAGGGGCATAATTCTGTCAAAAACCTTGACAGAGTTATGTCCTCTTGTCTGTTGATGAAGGTCGTGATGGTAAACAAGTATGGTCAGTTTCAAAGCAATACCTCCAATGGTTTTGAAATAAAGTGAGGTGGTACAAAAAACTTAACCAAGCTCAATACACTTTCTAAGTCAAAAAAGGGCCATAATTCTGTCAAAAACCTTGACAGAGTTATGTACTCTTGTCTGTAGATGGAGGTTATGATGGTGAACAAGTATGGTAAGTTTCAAAGCCATACTTGTAATACTTCTGAAATAAAGTGGGGTGGTACGAAAAACTTAACCAAGGTGTGACGCCGACGCCGACGCCGGGGCGAGTAGGATAGCTCCCCTTTTCATAGAAAAGTCGAGCTAATAAGTGGTTACGCCGACGCGGACACCAACGCCGACGCTCGGGTGACTACAATAGCTCTACTTATTCTTATCGAATAGTCGAGCTAAAAATTGGGGACGTAATTGTTTTGTAAACATCAACTTGAAATTATTTTTAAAATGCAAGAACTGCATATAAATTTCTCATTCTTGATGTTGAATTAAAAGCATGTTTGCGTAATTTTGTTTAGATTAACTTGTTCTGTCCCCCAAGTTATCCCACGAAAACACTGATGACTGATTTTATCGACAATATTGCTGTGGAAACAACTGGACACCGTGGATCGCCGGGGAAAGTTTTTAATCATTGACCTCCCCAAGTTTGTCTGCCATAGGCAGGGGTATCATGGAAATGGCTGAATCCTAAAGTTTTGAGCATACTGTAGCTGGAAAAACAGCTTAAACATACTGATTTCATAGGAGGTTAGAGACATTTTAATAAGTTGAAACATTTATACAATGCAATCGCATGGTTTTATAGATGCATACAAAACAATCCTTAACTTAAGGGGGTCGGAACTGGTCACTAGAGGATAGGGTGTTATGGGTTTCAAAACACTGATTTTGCTGCGGACAGATTCTAAACGTGCTTATCCATTACAGTATACTTGTAGTAAAAAACTATTTACCTGTATGAGCATAGGAGACTGAAACTTTCCAAATACTTATATGTGAAGATACTGAAGATATAAATTTTCCAAAGGCAAGAGGTATGATCATGGTTAAAAAATATTGCCGGCTTATTTCCCCTGTTTTTGGGACACCAAGCAGAGCCAGGATCGGACCTAGGTACAGAGCAGCTGATGATAACTGTACCATTGACATGGTCATAGGATAAGGAAACTCATTTAACACCAATTTCCCAATCACATTTCCACCTGCACTGGAAATATACCACATTACACACACTATGACTAGTTTCAAAACGTGTAGAAAGTCGTTGTCAGTCATTCTTTGTGTATTTGATAAATATTCATTTGTTTAAGTTAACATTTTAAAAAATATATCCGTAACAGCTGTCAAATCGTCCGTCAAATGTACACGTTTCCAAATCACCGGTAAGCATATTTTGCGAAATGAATTCGATTTCGCGGTAATGGACTCCATTTCGCGAAGATTGTTCTTTTATTTATTTATTTATTTACAGTATCTATACATTCAGGAACATAGCACACGATAGAAATAATAAAATCATACAGTTAAGAGATAACAATATAAATCATATACATAAAACAGCATAAAAGAATAAAAGAGCACACTTTTGTCATAAAAAATAATAAGAGGTACTATGGATGGCCCATTAAGCTATTTTTTTAAAGCTCATTTTCAATGGGGTCCATAGAAATAAAAAAAATACATAATTACAACCCTCCCCCTTAAAAAAACAAATAAAACTAAACTAACTAACTTTGGTCAAGATTTTGGTTGAAAAAGGAAATATATTTATAAAAGTATTCTTTTCTTTAAAAAATAAACTTAGTATCACTATCACAGACAAATATTGGATCACAGTGCCTAACACATTAGTGGTACACATATATTCATCTTCTGCTAGACTTTTATTACCTTCTACAGTAGTAGGTACTTTTTTTTACAGATTTTTAATATTGTACAAAATAATTAATGGATTTAATATATTCTGGCAGATCATTCCAGTCTTTAATTCCATTATAAATAAGGTCTGTTTCATTACACTGGGGAATATTAAAATTGCTTGATCTAGTATAGTAAAATCTTTTGTCAGCACAACACTTTTAGTCAGCTCTAAAGTATTATGGACACTTTTTGTAAAAAATCATATACATATGATTAAGTCTTAACTGTTTGACCAATTTAATTTTTCAAAATCATTATACACTGTTAAAGAAGTTCTAGGTGTCAGATCAACTGGCCACGTGGTTTACTCGTCATGGTCACCTCGTAACAGAAAATTGTTTGAAGTAAAATAAAAAAGATATATAATTAGATTTAAAATTAGATAAAATCTGGGACGGATAAAATGTGTCTTATCGAACTTAATTTACGTTAGTAAAAAAGTATAAAACAGTATAAAACTGATTAAATGACAAACCTGTGGTTTTAATAATGATCGAGCGCAATTGTACATAATTTGTAACTATCGTTAAAGGTTTAATTGTGACTGTACTTTTTAAAATAAAGGAAGGAAAAGATTGCTGTACAGTACAGTAAGGCTACCTTATATAACATGTTTAAATAATACAAATCAAGAATGTAATTATCATTGGAAAAAGAAAGCGTAAAATATATAATTATCAAAAATCTTATGAAATATATACGTTATCTTTTGTAGAAGTATTTCATAGGCACTTGGTTTCGGGATAAAAAAAAACCTTTGAGACGTTTGTAGAACTCAAATAATATTAAAATTGACTGTAACAGTTTTTAACGTACATGTAGATCTATGTCTCTTTTCTAAAACCGTTATTTTTCCGATGTTACTAAAAAAACCGTAACATATGGGAAAATAACAATTTTAGAAAAGAGACATCTACGTTTAAAAAATTGATACAGTCAATTATATTTGAGTTCTACAAACCTCTCAAAGGTTTTTTTTATCCCGAAACCTGGGACATAAGATAACTCTTATGTCCCAGCCGAAACCAAGTGCCTATGAAGTATTTTGTCACAAATCAACCGAAATACGGCATGGATCCGTTCCGTGTAATGATGTAAAGGTTCGAAAATTAGGATAAACGCTGGTCTCCTGCTTATCTGGTTCCCGAGATAGTGGGCCGAGTTGACACGAGTTGATGTAGGGCCGAGTTAAAAAGTGATATTTCACGCAAACAATGAAGAAGACGTTTGCAGTAAAGACATTTTCCTTGATATGTCTTGGATATATGGGTTTCCAATTTTTAGTTCTACCTGCCTATTTAGAAAGACAGGTGAGGCAATTTTAAAATAATTATATTTTTAGGACAGTACGGACAGTAGGACAACACGGATTGCACCGAAACGGACCGTATCATCTCTTGGACGTTTCGGCCCGGGTATTTTCGACCACCCAATTTTGATATGGTACTAGCTAAACTATAAGGGAATTAATGAGTAGCTTAATTAATTCATTCATTTATTTTTCACTATTTAATTTATTGTCTCATTTATCAAGGTTTACAATATACTTATTGAGGCTTGATGGTATACGGTATTTTTTCCATAAATTGTTTGAAAACAAGTTTTATCATTGTAATAGATGTCCCATTCGTGTTAAAATATTCAAATAGTTTTGATAGAGTGTTTACAGGGGCGTACGCCACTACGTTGGGGGGGGGTGCAGGATCTGACCCCCAAGCGTATACGTGATTTGTGCTAATAAAGTGATACATTTTTACTTTATTACCAATGAATGGATTGTCTTTATACTTGGTCACAGCAGTATGAAGGACAATAAGTTCTTCAAGAAGACTGAACTTCACATGACCTTGACTTTGAAATGACCTTAAAGGACTTTGAAATGACCTTAAAGGATCATGAAGGTTAATTCAGTTATTCAACTTATTGTGTTTTTATATATAAAATGCTATTATTGGCTATATAACTTTAAAATTATGCCCCTCTTCCAAGAAGAGAGTGTACATTATTTTGCAAGTGTCGGTCAGTCGGTCTGTCTGTCTATTGGTCTGCCTGCCCATCTGTCGGTAGACCACATGGTTTCCACTGATTATCTTAAAAACTATTCTTCACAAAGTCTTCATATTTCACATACTGATTGGTCATAACTTAGACAGATTTTGGGGTCACTAGGTCAAAGGTTACAGGGGCCATATATGTCAGAATATTGCCACTCATTATCCTTAAAACTATTTATTGCAAAGTCTTCAAATTTGACACACTGATTGGTCATAACTAGTTGATGATTTCTATTGATTTTTGGGTCACTAGGTCAAAGGTCAAGGTCACAGGGGCCTTATATGTCAGAATGGTTCCGGCTCATTATCTTGAAAACAATTTGTCACAAAGTCTTAATATTTCACATACTGATTGTTCATAACTAGTAGATGACCCCTATCGATTTTGGGGTCACTAGGTCAAAGGTCAAGGTCTTTTGGGCCTTAAATATCAGAATGGTTTTCGCCCATTGTTTAAAAAACAATGTATCGCAATGTCTTCATATATCACATTCTGATTGGTCATAACTAGTAGATGACCCCTATTGATTTTTGGGTCACTAGGTCAAAGTCACAGGGTCCTTAAATGTGAGAATGGTTTTTAGCTCATTGTCTTGAAAACTGTTTATCGCAAAAGTTTTCATATTTCACATACTGAATTTTCGTAAGTAGTAAATGACCCCATTTGATAATTGGATCACTAGATCAAAGGTCAAGGTCACAGGGGCCGTAAATGCTTGAATGGTTTCCGCTTATTATCTTGAAAACTATTTATTGCAATGTCTTCATATATCACATTCTGATTGTTCTTACCTAGAAGATGACCCCTATTGACTTTGGGGTCAAAGGTCAAGGTCACATAGGCCTTAAATGTCTGAATAGTTTCCGCTCATTATCTTGAAAACAATTTATCCCAAAGTCTTGATATTTCACATACTGATTGGTCATAACTAGTAGATGACCCCTAGTGGTTTTGGGTCACTATGTCAAAGGTCAAGGTCACAGGGGCCTTAAATGTCAGAATGGTTTCTGCTCATTATGTTGAAAATTACAAATGGTATGAGTCAAGGGCTTGGAAGGGGGTCATATGTGTTGTTTGACATTTCTTGTTAGCTCACCAGAGCCGAGGGCTCAGGGTGAGCTATTAGTATCAAAGGGGGATGCTCCGGCGTCCGTCGTCCCTCGTCATGCGTCAACAATCGTCTTCTTCTCTAGGCAGATTTACTTCAAATTTGGTCTGTAGCATCCTTGTGACAGTCACACTTGAATTTGCTCATGTCATTCCAATTGGCCCCTTTTAGGGGTCAGCAGAGGTAAAAATAGAAAAACCTTTAAACATCTTCTTCTACAGAACTAATGGATGGATGATCACCAAACTTTGTCTGTAGCATTCTTGGGAAGTTTTTTATCAAGTTTGCTCATATAAATTTGATTGGCCCCTTTTAGGGGTCTCTAGGGCTAAAAATAGAAAAACCTTTGTTAGGTAGTCTTTTATCAAGTTTGCTCATATACATGTAAATTTGATTGGCCCCTTTTAGGACTAAAAATAGAAAACCTCTAAACATCTTCTCCTACAGAACTAATTGATGGATGATCACCAAACTTTGTCTGTAGCATTCTTTGGTAGTGTTTTATCAAGTTTGCTCATATTAATTTGATTGGCCCCTTTAAGGGGCCGCTAAAGCTAAAAAATAGAAATACCGTTAAATGTCTATTTCTAGAGAACTAATTGATGGATGATCACCAAACTTTGTCTGTAGCATTCTTGGGTAGTCTTTTATAAGGTTTGCTCATATTGATTTGATTAGCCCCTTTTAAGGGCCGCTAAAATTAAAAATAGAAATATGTTTAAACATCTTCTCCTACAGAACTATTGGTGGATGATCATCAAACTCTGTAGCATTTTTGGGTAATCTTTTATCAAGTTTGCTCATATTAATTTGATTGGCCCCTTTTAGGGCCGCTAAAGCTAAAAATAGAAAAACCTTTAAACATCTACTTCAGAACCAATTGATGGATAATCATCAAACTTTGTCTGTAGCATTCTTGGGTACTCTTTTATCAAGTTTGCTTATATTAATTTGATTAGCCACTTTTAGGGGCCACTAAATTTAAAAATAGATATACATTTAAACGTCTATTGCTACAGAACTAATTGATGGATGATCAGCAAACTTTGTCTGTAGCATTATTGGGTAGTCTTTTATTAAGTTTGCTCATATTAATTTGATTGGCCCCTTTTAGGGGCCACTAAAATTAAAAATAGATATACATTTAAAACGTCTATTGCTACAGAACTAATTGATGGATGATCTCCAAACTTTGTCTGTAGCATTATTGGGTAGTCTTTTATAAGGTTTGCTCATATTAATTTGATTAGCCCCTTTTAAGGGCCGCTAAAATTAAAAATAGAAATATGTTTAAAC